GGAGTCACAGCGTTGGTCAGCTGATGTACTCCTTCCTACACTATTAGTCTGTAGCGCTACAGAAGAGCTTCTGGACATGTTCGAACAGAAGACTGTCAGAAATGTCCAGGAGGATGAACTTTGTCAAAGACTGCTGCAGAACACGACTGGAGCCTTGACTGAAACTACTCCTGTCTCGTGAATGACTCGTTATTCAGGTTAAAATGACTCGAACTTCGTCCAGAGTGATCTGAAACTTGTGTGAGAAGACTTGAAACTTCTCTAGTCAACGACTGGCTGCAGTAAGTGAAGGAGACCAGAGGCATCTCTGAGCAGAGCAGCTTCTACTGCTGGCCATAGGGGAACATCTGTAATGAGGATGGGCCGATGTGTTCGTGTTTTGTCTTGGTTCAGGGCTGATATTGATTATTGGTCATCAAGACAGACCGATAACTGATAATTGGAGTCGACTTCCAATAACCGTTATATGTTAACAGCTTGTCCTTCATAGTGAGGTTACTGCCCCCCTTAAGGATCCCTGTAGCCCGATATGTTCAGTAGAAACAGAACCGATGACATCAGAGCGTCACGACGTTTCCCTCCGTTCACCAATCAATCGATTGATATCGTTAGCATACCATTAGCCACTGCGATGTCCTGATCAGTGAAGATGTTTGTGCTTCTTGTTCAGAGTTGAAGTTGATCTGACTTTAGAAACATGCTAAAGCTAGTGTTAGCACAACCTCTCAGTGTTAGCATTAGCTTAGCACCGTCAACAGCTTCAGTTCCAGCTGCCCTAACACCAACAGGTGACTTATTCAGGTGTGTTCAGGGAACATCTGTGGACTGTCGTGTCGTCAATGAGCCGATGTTCAGCCAGCAGGGAGTTCAGTGTCCACTAGTTTATGTTCAGTCTCCAGGAGAAGCTCTCAGTGTAGCTGAACACTGCTGTGTGTCTCTTTGTCATGTGTTGTGTTTGTTTCTGGTCGTTTGTTGTGTCTCTGTGGTCAGTTTGTTTTTTCATAGTTTTTGTAACTAATTCAAGTGAACAGTCTGAAGTAAAGTGGATAAAATAACCTGTGATGAGAACAGTGGCTGCAGCTGTGGCAGAGCAGGGAGTCCCCAGTGTGTGTGTGTGTGTGTGTGTGTGTGTGTGTGTGTGTGT